AGTAAGAGAGACTGAGTTGATATACCCTTGCAGTTAACATCGTATATAGTTCCGATCCTTAAGAGAATCTCAAAATAAAATCAAAATTTTCAAAAAGTTCCAAGCTATCTATCTATCTTCTAGACCAAAATTAGAATACTCTCTGCAAGGGTATAAAAATATATATCTTTGTAGCAGGGTTTCAAAAAACTATATACATATGTACATATTTACACATATGTCATTTATTGATGAATAAATAAAAAAAAAATGTTCTTTTCAAATTTTTCCATTCCATTGCCCATTGTTAGGGATGGATGTTGGATATTGAAGTTTGTATATATACTCATATATTCGAATGTATTGTCGATCAGATTTCGAATAATCTCCTTTCAATAACGATTTTCGACATACCCTGATTTCGCCACAACTGTCGAACTAAAAGAAGCAACAACAAATCGCTCAGTTCAGGCTATAACGAGAGATGTAAAGCCCCGATATGGAAATGGCAATAAACTCGTAGTTGCCGCAGTATTGAGTTCACGTTGCTTGGTTGGCGAGGGGCTTGCAACAGGAATTGGGATTACTAAGTGAGACGTTGGCGTCGACTGCGACAGCGACGGTGACTGCGACGCTAGCGTATCCACAAGTGAACCGAGAATGGGGCAAGGGGGATTGGGCAGAGGAAAACTGGAGGAGGCATCGCCACTGGAGAGCCAAAAGGCACAAAGGAAATTACCAGGAAAAATTCAGGTCCCTAGTAGAGCTGCAAACGATTCTACTTTTAGTGAATCGAGTAAATTCGATTCGATTCTGAAAAAGATCGATTTAAATCGATTTAGATCGAAAAAATAAATATATAAATATATATGCTCAAAAATTGTAGAGGAAAACATAAGCCTTTAAACAATAATATAAATACAGAGTTCTTGAGATCAACAGTTTTAAAGCTATTTTTTTTATAGATTCCATCCTAATATCTTGCACCTGTAAGAAATATTTAGAATTGCAAATTAGACTAGATTTATCACAAAATGAAATCTAAACAACAAACCTTCCAATAGTCTAACGGGCTTATATTTGGCGTCGCGTGGTTGGCTTCTAAATATTGTCGGAGCACAATAATGGCATCCGACATTGGGGTTTTAATTTTATTTGCAATTTTGGATTGCATAAACGAAAAGTATGCGTTGTTTTCTTTGTTAAAGTGACAGATTGCTCGATGCATCGATTCCCTAAAATAGGAATCGATGTTCTCGCTCAACTCAAAAACATCGATGTAATCGATTTAAGATCGAATCGTTTGCAGCTCTAGTCCCTACGGTGCTTTTTGGTGCGACAGTCGTCGCATAGATACTAACTAACACATCTAGCCACATAGATACACACACACATACACACTAAAATATATAGACAGGAAAGCCGCCAGATAATCAGAGGAACCGACGGGCGCTGCAGGCCTCGCATATAGATTATAGCGGGCACAATGGAAGGAAAAGATGCTTTGGAGATCCGAGAGGAGATACATACCTTCCACCTTGGCTGATGCTGAGGATGCTGGGACCATGAGGCGCACTGGGACCAGAAAAAAAACTGAACACTGAACCGTAAATGGAACCCGAAACTGCCGGCACAGGAATGGAATCCAGCCAACGCTGGGGCCAAGGCCCGGACCTAATCAAAAAAGGTAATGGAAAAATACTATCTCGGGTCGTGGCAACGATTTTAAAATCCCCAAAGAGCTCTGGGTTGGGAAGGGGAGGGATTTGGGGTTTTGGCGATGTTCAGTTTGATATAAAATAATACATAACCATAATAAATTCCATGGCTAAATCCCCGCATCTGGCTGGCTCTCCAGAAAAAGGTCATAATAGATGAGCTTAGTCAAGCTCTGACGAGGGGGCGGTCTTACCAAATACACTGAGAACATTTCCTTAAAGTAATGGGGAGTTGTTTTATGATGCTATAAAGTCGTAAAACTAAAACAGGACTATAAAATATTAAAACATTTTTAAAACTTATATCCTTTTTTTATGAAAATAAAGTAATAATATTTTTGGCGTGGCGTAGGGATTTCTATATAATTTATTTAAATCTAAAAAGTATACAGTTTTTTTTCCAAAACTTTAATAGCTTTCTTGGATTTCCAAACACTTTAGGAATCCCGATTTAAAGATATTCCAATGTAATACATGCTGGATGCTGTGAGTGTGTGTGAGCTTGTAGGGTTCCTGGCACATCGCAATCACTTGGAATCGGAGTCATGAAATGGCAAAAGGAAAGGTCATTTTCTTCAATGCTTCAGCTCGTTTTCTAAAGGTTGCCAAGGGCTTACCCCCTGCCACGGACATCCATACAGCCAACCACCCACCCGCCTCCCAGCATCTTCCCGTCACCTATGGGCTCCCTCCTGTGAGTCGACCGCAAAAACATTTCGAGAAAAGTTTTGCTTGGCTGGTCAGTGGCCGATAGCTGCTGAAATATACTATAATAGAGTCGAGTCATCGTCATCGTCATCGCCATCGCCATCGCCATCGCCTAGCCCGAGCATCCGAGGAAACCCGGAGTCCCCAAGTACATCGACCACCCGTATACCGCCCACCCGCCACAGAGGTTGATGCTGTGGTTTTATACCTTTTCCAATACTTTTACTTCTATATATAATATGTATATATATATATATGTACATATATACGAGAGGGATATATAGAATGTGTGTGATTTCCCACCACCAAAACCCAATCGCACTCAATCGTATCGAAATGGTAGGGAACCGACCGAAAATACGAACCCAGACTCTGAGCGTTATCCATTTGTATCTCGAACTTTTATTAAAACTAATCCATCAAAATGCTGCATTCGAATTAATGGCTTGCTGCTGCTCTGCCGACGTCGCTGCCGCCAGGGTTCTAGCCATTTTTCGTACAAGCGAACAGCTCCGAACCTCAAACCCAATCGTTATAAAACTTCAGGTTACAGATACATGGCAGCTTTATTGTAGCTATCGGCTTCCCAGCATCTGTAAGATAGCTCTGCGTAAGCATGTTTGTGTGAATATATATATATTTGTATATAGTTATAGTTGGCAAGGCATTCTCCAATGTCTATAATGAGTGCCCAAAGAACCCGAACCAGGCGGCTCCGCATCTCCACCAGATGCCAGCGACTGCCGTCTCACTTATATGGAGTATCCATAAGAAAACTCGTTTAAATTGGACCGATGCCAAAACGAAAATTTATACTTACAACCCAGTCAATTGGGGTGGACCAGAAGGAAGAAAACCTATCCTAACCTAAATGATCGTGTATTGATAGTAGTAAATAGTTATTAAATAAAGATGTGGTTAAATATATCTTATGGATAAATGAAACAATTGTAAGATAATATTAGAGTTTGAAGGATCTTACTTTTAATTATTTCAAAGTTCTAAAATATTGTATCAGATTGAAGGCATTAAATTAAATAAATTTAAAAATTAGACAACAAAAAAATTAAAAAACAATACAAATAGAACTACATACAAATACTACTATCTTAAAACTAATGTTTTAAAATATTATAGATATATAAGTTATTCTAATATTATCTTTGTATTTAATTATTTGATTTTTAGAAACCTTATACATATATCTCTTTTAAAAATCTACTTCAAAACAATTTCAGGGCTCAATAAATATTTCTTGAAATAATCCCCCATGAGGTTCACTCTACTAGAAATTATAGACCCGAAAAAGTCGATAATTCCCAAAAATAAATATAAAAGATCGATATGTATGTATGCCTTATAAGGGTAAAAACATGTACGACTAGTCTTTCTATATCGGGATTATGCCTATATCTGAGTCATATATGTATATATCTGTAATTCCAAGAGAGTTTCGTCAGACCCACAAAATACCCAAACCCCTAAGTAACCTGAAAAAGTGTGTAGAGATACAGATACACACAAAACCTAGAGAGATGAAATCGGGAAAGTAGCAAGGGGACGAGGCAGGGAGGCAGTTGCTATAGCGGGCTCTACGTATGCCCAAAAAACCCAAAAAACAAAACCCATCCGAGAGCTCTATATACAAACATCCCATTCTGAAGCCATAAAACGCACCCCAAAAAAGGTAGGACGAGATGTCAGGTTATATGGGCTTCGGAATCGATTCGGTTTTGGATTCTGGCTCGGGTTCTCGGGTTCGGGTCTTCGGCTCATATAGCCGCTGGCTGACAGACCCAAGCCACCACCCCCGACCGACCGACCCAAGCCCCCGTCTGACGGTTACACCTTCCGTCGCTTAGCTCCCGCTGTTTGTTTTGCACGTCTTGCGCTGACGCCAACGTCGACTGCGCGGCCTCTTGAGGACAGAGAAGTGATGAAAGCTATTCCCTCTAAATTTAAGCTTTTTCTTTTTTTAGGGAGTTTTTGGTTTTTTAATAATGCGATTTTAAAAATTTCAAAATATGTAAAGTTTTAAAAAGTGTTTACTTTAAAATAGATATAATATTTAAAGGATATATAACAATAGTGCTTCTTATAGTACATTTTTTTGAAGACTGTTTCAAAAATATGTTTCAAATTTATTAAAACTTTTAAGATACATCTGATAAACCCAACCAACTATAGATCATTATCTTTTCTCATATACCATACTTTCAAAATATATAGTCCCCGACAATTGTAGGTCCTAGAAACCCCTATTCCTACTTCTCGTCATAATCCAGATACAAATATATATTTTCATCCCTTGAGATACCTTTGGCATCTCAGTTTTGGAGATTCTTTCTTTCAAGCGCCGTCCTTGCCAACGTCTGAGCTGCTGCTGCGCCGCAACTGCGCTGCTCTGCTTCTGCCTCGGTCGCTGGCTCGGTTGCTGCGGCAGTCGCCTCATCGCTGGTTGCCTTAGGTTTTTGGTTTGGCATGGCTTGTTTGGGATTAAATATTTCCTATAGATGGGAAAAACGAGTCGGTCGGGTCGTTCGTCGAGTCGGTTGGGCTGTGGCTATAGCCAGTGCCAGTGCCTGTGCCTGTAGACGACTCCGGCTTCACTCTGTGCTGAACGTTCGTTGAATGCGGTTCTCGCAGCGCGTTACGAAGCTTTTTCCCCGAGTAGACACAATCGCGTATCGCTCCCCGCATATAGAGGGCGCTACCCGAGAGATACAATAGTGGTTGAGGCCAGAATTAGTGTCGGCTGCATGTGGATATACATATCTGCAGGCCGATCCGCCGAAACGATTCGTTGCTCTGGATGTGAGTACCGTACCACTGTGCGAATGCGTAATGTGCATTGTTTGGGATGTAAACAAACAGGGTCTTGAGATTCTGTCGCGTCGCTGTCGGCGCCCCATCCTGCCACTGTTGTTGTTGTTTGTGTGTGTGTGTGCAATTAAAAAAAAAAAACAACCGCATTTGCATGCCGCAAAAGGAGCAGACTGTCTGTGTGTGTGTGTGTGAGAGTGGGTGGTTGTGGCTGTTGTGGGTGTCAGCGTTGGGGGAAATGTGACGTTTAAAAATGCCCGCTTTTGTTTTTGTTTTGACGACGCGGCGGCTGCGAAGTCGGCGCTGGCGGCGTGGTTTGTTTTGGTTTTTGCATTTATTTACTTGTTTTAAACGTGTGTGCTGGTGGGGGGTGTGATAAGCGGCCATTGCCCGCAGATTTGGCGCCAATTGGGAGTCCTTGATAAGAGGTGAAGGACATGTAAACACTGGACAAAACGACAACTATTAAGAATCCTTTAAGTCTTTAATTAACAAAATATATCACGTTGATTCTATTAACCTAAAGAACCTAAAAACGCACATAATGCCCCATCATTTTCTATCCATATCTCACATTAATGACCTCATAGACAAAAAACAGAGATACAAGCACACATAATATATAGCCAGAGTATTGTATGTATCTGGCATAGTCTGTTTCTTTATTCCCATGAGTATATCTTCCCCTCGAATCTGAACGAAAATGCAGACATACAGACAGACACAAATCCGATTCATGGCATGCCGAGCTATATAACATCCATTTATGCGCTGCTAAACCAGCCCAAAAAGGTCCAACCAAACCACCTTGAGATATACGATAAATAAGTAAACTAAACTCATGCCCGAGCCCAAGACGAAGACTGAAAACCAATCGCAAAATTACCTGACATCGTGAACCGAGTGAAACCCAAAACTACCAGCTTAATCCCATGGCGGAGCATGTCGGGAGGGCGACCGACCGACCAACTATAGCTACCACTATGGACAAAAGGGCAATGAGGTGGACGTGGCTGAAGATGGTAAATGTAGGTAGTAGAACGTAGAAACGAACGAACCGAGCTAAAAAACCGACCCGAACCGGGCAGAAAACTTCCTAGGCAAACAATGGCTGAGATATTAAGATACCGAGATACAATAGATATGTCTTTAACAAAGGGAACTCAAACTGGAGTTCACCCTGGCTCGGAACTGAAACTGGGACTGGGACTGGGCTTGGTCTTGAGGCTTGGGTCCGGACTGGGACCAGGACTGGGGCATCATCTTGATTGCTCCGAAGATAATGGCTCTGCACGAAATTTCACGAAGAGACCCAGAATCTGCTGCCAGGAGCTGGCACAGAAGCAGCGACGCCGACATAGGCAGCCATTAGGGTGAGTCTGTGGGAGGGAAAACGGACGCAGGACCCAAGGTATTGAGGGGGAGCCAAATCCCCCCGGGGGCAGGCGAGGGACAACTCTCGAGGCGATTAAGATAAAGTGCCAATCGATATAAGGGAAAGAAGCGAAACGAAAGAACGGGCGAACTGAGCGAGCTGAGATGTTGAGATACTCGTACTTGTAGCTACATTCACGTCCACGTTTACGTCCAACATCCGCATCTGAAGCTGTGCTATATATTTAGTTACACTCGAGGTCAAGCAAGTTAATTAAAGGAGTTTGGAAGCAGTAGAAAAAGTTTAAATACATTTACAATAAAATATTTTTTTTTAAAGATGTAAATTCTATAAAATATGATCTTTGAACTTGAGACCTGTTAGATCATTAGGCTTTTTTAGATACTAGTGTCTTGTCCTTTGTTGTAACTATATGGCTATACTCCATAGCTAGGGCCATAGAGAGCGACATAAAAGGAAATATAAAACCATTTATAAAGCGAGTCAGTCAGGGGAGATTTGAATTGGAATTGATGGTGTAGTGCACTAAAGTGTGGCATGGTGTGCGTACGGATGTGCACACTCAAACACACACACACACACAGACACACGAGTACACTCTAAGAAATACACCCGAAGTGAAGACGAAGCGCAGTCGCGTTGTGTGTCAAGGTGCGAGTATCTTGAAGATGGAAAGTGGAAGGGTTCCTTGGGTCTGATTCAGCTGGGTTTGGCTTGGTTTGGTTTGGCTCGGTATGGCCTGGCTTGGGTTCTCGGGCGGCGAAACTTCTCGGTCGCTGGCAGTGCTGGCAGCGCTGCTGCCAAGAAGTTTCCGGCGCAAAAACTTTGCCAAGTTAAGCGAACAGCTGCGTGGAGGGTGGAAGCTACATATAGAAGAAGTCTGACAAAAAGAGATAGAGATGAAACAGTGAGCAACCCCTAAGCTGGCAGGCCCGAAGATAAAACCCAATTCCGTAAATCCGTGTCAACAGCTAAAGAAAAGGAAGGAAGCTGTGGGACGAAACAAAACCTAACCCCCGGATGTATGTAGTACATACCTACAATGGTTAAATAAGCAGAAAATCTCTAGCAACCGCAGAATGAATCGAAGCCATGATACCAGGCCTTGATATATTATTCATTCTTTGTGATGGTTTATACTTCATAAGCCAATTACAGACTTTTCATTCAGTAGCTTTGGTTTTTGCAACAGAAGCTATTAGCGTTAAGGGCTTATCAGTCGACGTATTATAATTAACTTTATGAAAATAACAGATTATTATTTATTTCCCCAGATTGTGTTTATTTCTGGGGCTTTCAATACCCTTGGGTAAGAATTCAAGTCCCTTGCCTGATCAGCATAAATCTCGCTTCTAAAAGGGGGAAGTTTATCGTATCTGTTCAAAACGGACATGGTGTTCGTATTAAGTCATATTTAACTTGGGGGGGAATCTCGGGGGAACTGTGCTAATCCAAAGACCGGCTCTGAGTCAGGCAGGTGGGTCACTGCTCGTCGATTCGGGTTGGTTTCATCAGATCTCTGAGTTGCTGACTCAGCCAAAAAGTACACAGCTCTACCCATCCAAAAATCTGGGGGCGTTCGGCAGGGGGCCCGACCGAATCGTTCTTCTAACAAAACTACCAAATATCTATAGCCATATGAAAAAACTTTAGTGTGTGGGTATGCCCTGATATGGGAATTCGGAGGTTTTTCGGTTTAAAAACGAAAACATATCATACGATTGTATATTTTTCCAAGTAAGAAAAGATATTTATATAAGATCTTAAGGTTGCCTCTATCGAGGTTTTCAATATACTCCGATCTATAAACATATGTACATATTTGGGTTTCCACACTTTGATGAGTCATTCGATTGAGCTCTGAGTATATATTCAAACAATGAAATAGTTGTCCTTCTGGTTTCTTAAATGTCTGATTCACTCATATAATGGAAATATTGGATTTCTAAGAATCGAGATTCAACCGGGGAACTTGTCAATTTTAATCATTATAGTTTCTGGTGGAAAGTATGTATATAAACTAGTTTGAATAGGAATTAACGTAATAACGTATAGAAACTAGCTATAATTTCTGTTCTGCATTAATAAATGTAAGCATCTTGTTGCTAAAAGACGATTTTAAAAATCATGTGGCCTTTGTAGATAAAACTTCAGAATTAATACCGCTAATCACAGATTTGAATTTCTAATTCAAATTCTGCACCTGTTGCCGAAAAGCTGCCAGACCATTACGCTTTTGTCAGGACCTTGCCACATGTCTATAATTGCGGAAGCGGTAACTTTGTCGGCATTTCCGGGAAAATTAAAAAAAGGTGATAAACACGAAATCGGGAGTCATTTAGTTGTAAATTGTTATTATTGTAAGTAAACTAACGCAAGCTAACAAATTTCTTGTCTTTCTTTCAGATCCGGGTGGACTTCTTTAATTTTTCCTTTCATTCGTTGGCTTGGCGAAGCGTCAGCAACGCCAGCTCTTAAAGATTAAACATTCGGGGCCACCAGCACGCAATTCCGCAGCCCGAGATGCCGACCATCCGGCGCTGCTGCATCATCGGATGTTTGTCCAACTCACGCCAGCATCCCAGCATGCAGTTCTTCGCCTTTCCTCGTCCGGAAAACCCCTTCCACAAGCTTTGGAAGGAGGCGTGCCACGCATCACTGCGCAGGATCGTGCCATTTAAAAAGCCTGTCGTCTGTGCTCTGCACTTTGATCCCAGTGTCCTGGGTGGACGCAGACTCCAGTCCAATGCCTTGCCTACCCTCAGGCTCGAGGTGCCATCCAACTTAGAGGCCGTGGAGCAGCAGGCGATGGTCGAAGAGATCGAGAGAAGCAGGAAGTGCGCCTACATAAATGCGGTGGTGTACGAGTGGTTGGTTAGGGCCAACATCAATCCCCAGTTGAGAGGAAGCATCACACACGGAATGATTAAGGACAAGGCAGAGAATGCTCGCCAGGTCATCGGAAGCACCGCTTTCATCGCAGACAATCGTTGGCTAAACCGCTTTAGGGAGACGCATCTCCAGGGATTTGCTCAAAAACTGGCAACCAATCAGCTGAAGCCCCTGGGCACCTCATTGTGGATCCCGGATATTGTTCAAGATCTGGCGCATCTGTTTCCGCCCGCAAGCGCCGAACGAGTGGCGAAACTGGACGAAATGCCCGAGCAGTACATGAATTACATGCAGCAGTATGGAGAATACGAAGAAGATGACGACAGTCAGGATCTGAAAGAACAGAGATACCAGGAACAGCAGCAGCAACAACAACAACAACAGCAGCAGCACTTTGCTCTCCAACAACAACACATGCAGCAGCAATTGGGACACCCATGGCCTCCGTTTCCCGGGCATCCGGGTCATCCTCCGCACCCGGGATTTGCTGGCTTCAATGACTTTTACTTTGAGCGGCAGATGCAGCAGCAGATTCAACAACAACAACAACAGATGCAGCAGCAGGCACCGTTTCCACAAAGGGAACCCTTTCAGCCCCAATTACCACCTAACGGTCCAACCCAAAGGGCTAGTCCATTCCAGCCCGTACAATTGGCTAAGAGACCTAAAGTAGAGTCACTAGACGACGATGAAGTCCAGGAAATCAACTCGTCGGCGACCTCCCCAACAATGCCGCAGGCCGAATCTACTTTGATCAGCAAGGATAGCCGCAGCTCGAGTCCTAAGGAGCAGAATAATAACAACTGTGGAGGAAGAGACAGTGCCAGTAGCAAGGAGAACGCTCCAAAGGGAAACGGCGGGCTGAGTGGGAAGTCCACTCCAGCATCCTCCATTAAGGGCAAGGACTCTCCTGCTCCAGGTGCTCCGGCCTCTATGCCCTCATCGCCGAAAAAGATTGCCAATGGTGCAAGTCAAGTAACCGGCAGTCACACAAATGGTCACTCATCTCCAGAACCCGAGGGCAATCATAGCATGGCCATGCTGAAGGAACTGGACAGCTATACACAAGCATTGGAATATCTTAAGCCGCTGGAAGATTTTGTGCTCTTTAAGGAGAATTTCCGGGCAATTGGTCTGCTCTCCCAGCTGGAATTGGTGCTTCGCAAAGGCGACAAGGCAACGCTGGCCGAGGGTTAAGACAGTGTGGGTCTTAACCAATTTGTAGAGCATAAAACCAAATGTGATGAACAATGTATATATGTATTAAATAGTATTACTAATTTGTCCAACTATTAACTGAGTTATGTAATATAAAGGGAAAGAATCTCCATTTACCTAAGTTGCAGAATAAATTAAATTAATAAAGAATTAATTTATTAACTAAAAAACGATAAAATCTTTTTTAAATTTTAATAAAAATAAAAATATTGAAATGTTGCTTAAAAATTTTAGAAAAAGGAATGCAAAAATTGGCGGGAATTTCAAATTTATATTGTAAGCTAGGGTGGCAACGCTCCTTTGGTAGGGATATGGCCACACTATGTTTGGATTACTACCACTGGCACAGCAAGGTCTCTTTTCATCAATGTTTACGTTTTTCAGCGAAAAATTAGCAAATAGTTGAACAAAATACATAATTATACCTTGGCCAGGCGAAATAACGCACAAATGTCGCTGCTGGATCAATACGAGCAGCAGTATGCAGCACTAATAGCTGAAATTACGGCCCATATTGGACGGCTGCAACAACAGAGTAACAGCAGTGAGTATGGTATATTTTTTTCCAGACGGAAATAAACGTTCTTCTATTTGAAACGCAGGTGACCGCCATGAATTGTGTGGAAAGATTGATACTAGTCTTCCAGAGGCCCAAGAGCTTCTGGAGCAAATGGGATTAGAAGTAAGGGAGTTAAATCCTGCCCAAAGAACCAGCTTCAATGGGAAACTCCAGGTAGCCCAGGCTGAGTTTAAGCGACTTCAAGCTGAGTACAGGCAAACGAGGGACAAACAGCGAGCTCAAGCGAATACGTTTACAACGCTAGATTTGGGGGACAGCTATGAGGATGTCTCCATCAGCACGGATCAGCGCCAGAGACTGCTGGACAACTCGGAGAGCATCGAAAGAACAGGAAACCGGCTGACCGAAGGGTATCGCGTAGCGCTGGAAACAGAACAAATGGGAGCACAGGTCTTGAACGACTTGCATCACCAGCGGGAGACCCTTCAGGGAGCTAGAGCTCGGCTAAGAGAAACCAATGCGGAGCTAGGAAGAGCATCCCGCACCCTAAACACTATGATGTTGAGAGCTCTCCGAGAAAAGGTAGTTCTTTACGGTGTTGGTGTATGTTTCGTGGTCGCTGTAGGTGTCAGTTTGTATTTAACCTTTGCACCGAGCTCATCCACTCCTGTCACTTTGTAATTAATGTAACTAACACTACAATTATTGATACTTCAAGGATAGCCCAAGTTTAGTAAAAAAAATACGTTAACCCATTCCATTTTTGTGAGGTGATTATTTATTGTTTAGAATACATATTTTATCTTTTATGAGATATTATGTGGAAGAAAGCTGTATACTTACGCACTAATCTGCTTTAGGTCGGGACTGATCGTTTCACAAAGGTGTGGCAAAAGGTTTTTTGGAGTTAAATATAAAAATTCAAAATATTCCAAAATATCTTCGTTAGCCCACTGAATGATTACATTCATATTTTCTTTAGTTATCTAGTTTCTTAATGCATCCTTAAAAATCGACCAATCCTATATTATGTTCTACGTTTATGTAAAGGAGGAGCCTTCTACAGAAAATCAAAAATTATAAATGTTAACAAATCGCTGAGTATCATCATAATTATGATGACAATAATAACCATTGGAAGGCTCCCCTTTATCTTTTGGCATCTAGCGTCGCCAGGATAAAAATAGTTAATTCTATGACTCGTTTTCACGTTCGGGACGTACATATTTCATGTAAATTCGAAATAAATGTGTTTCTAAAAACCATAAGCATAGCCAAAAAATGTTAATAAATAAACAAAATTATTAAAAATACATTTCTGCGCACCCATTGAACCTAGCCAGGCCATTGACCTATTGCCTAGCCAAATTCAATGTTCCCCAACTGCTAGCAGCCACATGAAGACGCGTCCTCTTCGTTTACCGCATCGGAGGCTGAATCCACTTGGAAGCTTTTGTGCTCCAGAGCCTGCAACTCCATCTTGGATCGATTGGCATGGACTAGTTGCCGTGAAATGTCACGAAACATCTCCTCTACACCGGCGCCGCTACGGCATGAGGTTTTGTAGGTCGCGCTAATCAGGGAATGACACTGCTCGCAGAAAGCCTCCACCTCCTCATCACTTACTTCGGGCTCTCTTCCCTCCAAGTCGCTTTTGTTGCCGCAGATAAAGATTTTCGCATTTTCTGCATATGTCACTATATCCAGTAAGTGCTGGGAGAGGGAATGAAAGGAGGCTGCGTTGTCCAGAGCAAACACGAGGATTGCACCCTCGGCAAATTTGTAGTATGAAGAGGTCACCGAAGCTACACGCTCCATGCCACCAGTGTCCCAAAGTTGGAGCTGCGAGGATAGTACACATGAGTTTATTAATTAGCTCATAAGACTTAAGGGACTCACCTTGATCTGCTTTTCATTAACACTATATTCTCGATCAATGTGATCCAATCCCAATGTGGACTTCCTATCCGTGTCCGTAACAAAGGTGTTTGTGGCAAAGCGTCGGAATAGGGAACTTTTTCCCACTCCGTAATCCCCACAAAGGATTACTTTCTGTTTAGGAATGCGCACCGTGGCCATATTCTTGATTGGTGATGGGCTTTGCTTTGATTTATCCAAAGGTAATCCAATTATTTTCCACCTGCCAGACACAAAGACGACAACAACAATATTTCCAACAGCTGTTTCAGCAAAAACAATCAATCGACCAGTGATGCCACCCAGTTTCGCAACTTTATCGATGGTCCTCCTTTGAAATTTGATAAAACGAAATGACAGTTATTTACTAACAAATTAAGATTCTTTAGATTCTTTTTAATAGATTTTAAAAAGAATCTCTCTTTTAATAGATTTATTCATTAAACACAAAATGGTCTTGATTTTATCTTAATTTTAGAAACAAATGGTATAAGGCTTTTTATTGGAAAATTGTAGCATTTAGTCAAATAAGGGGATAATAAAATCCTGGTAACTTATCCCCCATAAAATTTAAAAACCAGTCAAGGTAATGATTTAGAAATCAATTACATATTTTTCTCTAACATATCTATGGCAGAAAATTAAATAAACAATCTGTAAGTTACCCTACCCTATAACAGTTTGGAAAATGTCGAATATATTATGTAATTCAATCTTGTTTCATGTAATCCTCTCAGTTAAACTTTCATTAGAACTAGTTCGATCATTAATTGTTTTCAATTCTGTCACTTTTAATATATATAAGTTTTAGTAGTTTCTTCTACTGATAATGGGTTACCCTTTAAATAAAGCCAGACATCGCACTATCACTAGCAGTTGAAGATGACGCCTTTGCTGGTAACGTTCCTAGCCTGTTTGGTTGCTTTGGCCCAAGGTAAGTGCCATAAATCAGAAACTATCTCCAGGAATAACGAACGTGGGGCTATAAATAGAGCTTATTTATTTAAAGATATTTTCATACCATAGGTAAACCTGGTTACGGGCCGGGTGAACAGGATTGGGGCTATGTGGACGTCCGTCCCGGTGCCCACATGTTCTACTGGCTCTTCTACACCACCGCCAATGTATCCAGCTACACGGATAGGCCACTGGCCATTTGGCTACAAGGAGGTCCCGGTGCCTCCTCCACGGGCTATGGAAACTTTGAGGAACTTGGCCCGGTTGATTTGTACGGCGATTGGCGCAGCTGGACGTGGGTAAAGGACATGAACGTCTTGTTTATTGACAACCCCGTGGGCAGTGGCTACAGCTACGTGGATAATACGGCGTATTACACGGCCACTAATAACGAAATTGCCCTCGATCTGGTGGAACTGATGAAGGGTTTCTATAAGCTCCACCCGGAGTTTGAGAAAGTACCACTTCACATCTTCTGCGAGAGCTATGGTGGCAAGATGGCTCCGGAATTCGCCCTGGAACTTTACTATGCCAAGGAGCGTGGAGAAATAAATAGCAACCTTACCTCAGTGGCGTTGGGCGATCCTTGGACCTCTCCCATCGACTCTGTTCTGGCCTGGGGACCACTGTTAAAGGAGCTCGGAATAGTGGATCACGATGGGTACAATGCCATCCAGGAAGCTGCCAATTTGACGGCTCAGCTTGTTGAGGAAGAGCGATGGATTCAGGCCACCTATCAATGGGGTAACACTCAGTGGGAGGTGATGAAAGCCTCCAAGGGTGTGGATTTCTACAATGTATTGAAGGTGACGGAGGGAGGTCGCTACCAGAGGCATCAACGTATGAGTCCTGAGGGTGAGGTTCTCTTTCTGGCTTATAATTTCCCTGAAAGATAGTATTGTCTCTTTTTTTAGAACGACTTTACAACACGATGGTTAAGTTCGATTTGGATGAGGATCGTACGCAATTACTGGAGGATTTGATGCGCGGACCCGTTGCCGAGACCCTGGGAATCCCCTCCAATGTGGTCTGGGGATCGCAGAGTGGTAGCGTTTTTGACATCCATCGAACTGACTTCATGAAACCTGTCATCCACATAGGTAAAATATTCCTCCTTTTATTAAACGGTCTAAGATTATTTCCCAGATTAACGGTCTAATTTTTTAGTCAATGAACTACTGGAAAAGACACCCCTTAAGGTAGGTGTGTTCTCGGGTGGTCTGGACTTGATCTGTGCTACTCCTGGTACCGTGAACTGGATCGCCAAGCTGGATTGGAGCAGGAGAAGCGAGTATCTGGAAGCTCCTCGAAACGCCATCTCTGTGGATCGCATTTTGGAGGGTTATCAGAAGTCTGGGGGTAACTTCACCATGTTCTGGATTAACCGAAGTGGACACATGGCCCCTGCCGATAATCCAGCTGCCATGAGCCATGTGCTCCGACAGTTTACAAACTTTGGATAGAAAATTTTATTCACTTAGCAATGATGTAATAAAAAAAATTGTAATATTTGTTACCTAATAAAATGCGAGCATTTGTTATATTACTAGTGTTTGTTATTGCTTGAAGGCCTTAAACTATTTAACCAATCAATGAAATCAATGAAGAGATTTTCCCCTAGCTTATAATTTATTATATTGTCTGTTTTTATCAGCTTCAAAATTACATTCTTGAGGTATCTCAAAGATATGTCACGTGGGATAAACTGCAACCGGAGCTCAAAAATATGGGGAAAACCCACTCAAGATAACGGAATGCAATCACTGCCACAATTTTTGGGGTGGCTTAGAGGCTCCCTCGGATTTATGACCAAAAGATTTGCCAAGACAGACAAGTGACAGACACATATTGGCCAAAGCAGCAGCGTCATCGTCCGCCGAAGGGTCATAAATACTCTACAAACACACTTCTCCCCCGACCGTAGATTAAGAATTCTGTCCGCAAGCAGACGACAGGTGTGTCAGGTGCTTACCACCTACCTTACCTGCGATGTCGCCGCTCTGGCAGTGATCAGAAGGCAGTGAAACTGCCAAGCGTTCGGTTGGGTTTCCACGGTTTGAGCTTCGAAAAATTGGTGCAACATGGCCGGACGGGTTATCATCGGAGTTATAGCTCTACTGGCTATTTCCAGCTTGGGTTCTGTCAGCGGTAAGTTGTTTTTTATTCCCATCAGGAAGGTAGCAAAGGTGCTAATCAGCGAGAAAGTGGTTTAAGCCAAAAGCTTGCACAGCAGGCCATCGAAAGCAAAATAATATAAATAACTCACGTGTTTCAAGAACCTTTTCACTTTATTGTCTCAAATGTGGTTTAAAATTAAATTCATGATAAATAAATTGTAGATGTATATTTTTTTAAGTTCAAGACAGAATCCTATCTTTTGCAATCTTAGTTTATTATTTAATTTAAAACTCTTATCAAACATCAAAACTAATTATCCTTATCTTATTTATAAAGAGGTTGCTTGATTCCAATTAATACAATTAAGAGGTAGATAGCTCTCAAGTGCATAAACTAGATTGATTTTCCAATAAAGGGTGTCTTTTGGCTAGAGGATTTGAGCTATTTAACATTTTTAATATTTCTTAATAATAATGTAACTTAATTTTAATCCTGAGCAGCTCGCAAGGGTTATGGATCCGGAGAACAGGATTGGAACTTTGTTGATGTTAGGACCGGAGCTCATATGTTTTACTGGCTGTACTACACCACTGCCAATGTTTCCAACTACACCGAACGTCCCCTGGCCATTTGGCTCCAAGGAGGTCCGGGTGCCTCCTCGACAGGATACGGAAACTTCGAGGAGCTTGGTCCCTTGAAGCTCGACGGCAGCTACCGCGACTGGACTTGGGTGAAGGACATCAACGTTATGTTCATCGACAATCCAGTGGGCAGCGGGTTCAGCTACGTGGATGGGTCCTCCTACTACACCACTACCAACAAGCAGATTGCTCTCGATCTGGTGGAGCTTATGAAGGGCTTCTATAACGACCACCCCGAATTCAAGACCGTACCGCTGCACATTTTCTGCGAGAGCTACGGCGGCAAGATGGCCCCCGAGTTCGCTCTGGAGCTCTATTACGCCATACAGCGAAAGGAGATCGAGAGCAACCTGGTTTCGGTCGGTCTGGGAGATCCCTGGACCTCACCCATTGATTCAGTGCTGTCCTGGGCTCCGTTCCTTCTGCAGCTTGGCATTGTGGATCAGGACGGCCACGACAAAATTGAGGCATCTGCCTTGAAGACAAAGAACTATGTCGATAACGAGAAATGGACACAGGCTACCCTTCAGTGGAGCTCCACCCAGTCGGTGGTGCTGCGTGAATCTAAGGGTGTGGACTTTTACAATGTGGAAACCCCTACCTTGGGCGACCAGTACAGATTGAAGGCCCGCGACACCATGACCCCCGAAGGTAGGCCATTCCATTCAACCATTCAATAAGTGTTTATTGATTTTTTTCGTAGAACTCATGTACCGAACTCTGGTAAAATTCGACGTGGACGAGGATAGGGATCAGCTGCTGGAGGACCTCATGCTTGGTCCCGTCACCGAGGCTTTGGGAATCAACACCGGAGTAAAGTGGGGCGCTCAAAGTGGCACTACCTTCACAAAACTGATGGGAGACTTTATGAAACCCGCTGTACACATTGGTAGGTCTTTATAAAATATGCCTTTAAAAAAGTGTGACTTTATTATTTTTTTAGTTGGAGAACTTCTCAGCAACACTACAGTTAGGGTGGGTGTATTCTCCGGCGGACTTGACCTCATCTGCGCCACTCCGGGTGCCGTGAACTGGATTTCCGATATGGAATGGACCGATAAGAAGTCTTACGAGGCCGCTTCCCGTGTGGGAATCACAGTTGATCGAGTACTTGAGGGATACGAAAAGACGGCCGGAAACTTTAGCATGTTCTGGGTTAACCGTGCTGGCCATATGGTGCCTGCTGACAACCCGGCCGCCATGTCGCATATTCTCCGACTGTTTACCAACTTTGGTTAATTACAGATTTTGAAGTTGTTTTTTAAAAATAAAGCAAGTTACAAGTAAAAAATATATCATATTCGGATTAATCTTTTCCCCCGTATGTGTCGTTTATCATACTACCCTAGAAATTGTTGAACTATAGCTATATAAAGAAGCTAGCAGCAGCTAAAAGGTGAAATTAAGCTAGAAGTTGTTTAACTATTATATAAAAGATCTAGCAGCAGCTAAAAGGTGAAATGAAGCTAAAAATGGAAAAGAAATGTAAGTACTTCTAGTTTTAATTCTTAAAACCACCAAAAATGTTTTTCAGCGAAAACAGATCAAGACCAAAAGTGGGGTCCACACAAGACCCATCTATTCTTGTTGCTCTGTTCCACAAAGATTGATAAGTTTTGGACCAAGAGAAACCATCCAGTCTGGAAAGAAATAGTCAGGGAAATGGAAGACCATGGGCTGGCAGGCTTAGATGCTACGACGCTGTGTCTAAAATTCCGAAACTTGAAAAAAACCTACATTCAAATAAACAGGAGGACAAAAAATGAACTAGTTCCAACTAATCCAAAATGGCGCTTTTATAATCAGATGGCGGCCATTGTGAAGGATGGTCAATGTGAACTGCGACAACAGCTACAACCTAGAACAGAAGAGATTTCAATAAATTCAGACATAGAAGCCATTAAGCACTTGCAAGCTCTTCAGGAATACGCCATGCTGTGGGAGAACTACCGCGCCATTGGGCTTCTTATGCAGGCAGAATACGCCTTCAAGCACCCGCCTGAAGATAAGGATTTTGATATATATTGATTTAATAAATTTTTCAATTATGATATAATTCTGTCAATATGTTAAACTATTGGTTCCCATTTATTTCAAATTAAAATCGATCTTAAGTAGAGTCCATTAGAGTGACCAAGTTGAAAACATTTCTTAAATGTAACGGTCTATTTTCCTTTTGTGGTGATAATACTTCTAGAATCTAGATTCTAGTTGATGGTGTTATCTGTGATTTTTGTATTCTGTAATTTAAGTCGTATATTAATGAATATATATATTTTTAAACCGATTTGTACGATCGCTTTGCGGGTGTTGGCCACATCACACCGTAGCTGCAAAGTTGTCGCATGCGCAGTGCACCCCTCTCACACCAACACAGTCACACGCGTATATGTGACCTTTGTTCTCTCGAAAAAAGCAATTGCCACCCTCTCTCCGGCTAGCTGCCTTGGTTGCCCACGTTGCGCATGCTACTCGGAAGAGAGCACTGGTCGAGAGATAAGCGGCGGGGCAGCTATTTTTGTATTTGCCATCGACTAGTCCACATCAGAGTCTGAAAACTAAATTAAATCACACGCATCGCTGTTGGAAAATTGCAATCAGCACGCTGCTAAACGGCAACGGAACGGAATCAAAGGCTACTGAACCAAGACAACGGAAGGGCAGCAAATAAAACGACGCTGCAATGACGAAATGATACTTGGATGAGGCGACGTTTTGCTGGAAGTCAACGCGCATAATCGTAGCCATCGCACACGGCGGACACACATACAGGCCCACAGACCACACCGAGTCAGCCGGGGCTGTGGGGAGAGCAAAGGCGGCCATAAAAGGGGGAGGCAGACGCAGCAATAACAAGAACACGAAAACAAACACAAATTGCCGTTTCAATTGCGCTTGGCGGAGCCACCAGGAAAACGCAAACAATGCGGATACGCGAAAAACGAAAACTGCAACGGGAGCAGAGGGACCACAAGGAGCACAAGGACTCTGCCAAAGTAGATGATAAGAAGGGCAAGGTAAGCCATGTTACACCTTTATTTTTAAATTTGGGTTGCACCTGCATGCCCACAACCACAACATGTGCTCGGACTTATCAAAACCTTTGAAGCCCAATGGGCAAGTGTCTCGACGAGCCGAATAGACTTCTAGGGTAGTCCATTGGAGGTACAATTTGATGACCATCCTCGTTTGTTTTTTCTTGCAGCGGACCGAGGCGGAGGCCCTCACACCAGCTCCTGCGCCTGCGTCAGCTCCACAACAAAACTCAACCCCACCCCCTAGCACAGTGGCAACCACATCCAGCCTGCCGGCTGCCGAAAAGGTGGCCTTTGATAACCGCATCAAGCGCAAGAATGTGCTGGCCCTGAACGAGAAGGTGGCGGCGTTGCGGGAGTACGACCGGGTGCCGGTGTACAAGCACGTCGGCCGCATATTCAACTGCAGTCCGGATCAGATCAAGAGGATCGTGCAGCAACGCCAGGAGATTTTGAATGCCTGGGAGCAGCGAACTCGCCGCAGTCAGGATGCCAGGACCATGGAAACCAAGACGGTGCGGGTCTCTATGCTGGGGAAAGCCGTCTACGATTGGATCCGCCGCATGATGTACTACAAGGACTTTAGCATTTCCGATGGACTCATCCAGAAGATGGCCCTGCAGTTCAAAAGCTCAATGGGCCTGGCCCACTTCTTCCCCCATCAGGAGTGGTGTGACAAGTTCCGGCGCACCTACAGGCTTAATCATAGCGAAACGAAGATGTTGAAAATAGGTTACACCCAAGGATATTCAGTACAGATTAAGGATATCGTCAAAGATATTATTTCGGAGTGTATGCCCGAAAGTGGTCCAGGAAACGATGAGGATGGAGAGGCCAGCTTGGGCAGCCCACTCAGTAGTATTCACCGGAGCTGCGTTGATGCTGAGGACGATGGCGAGGACGGCGAGGTGGATGTCGATGGTGGTGATGTCAGCGACAGGGTGGAGGACCTGGAGGAGGAGCAGGACGTTAAGCCTTCCCTAAGTGAATTGAATTTCGCGAGAGCTCTTCAACCGTTGCCCCAGCTAGTTCGATTGCCTCTGCAAACCAATGCGCCGCCTGGAACCTCCCAAAAAGTTCTCCTGGCAACGCCCATTGTGCCTCCACAGACTGGAGGAAGCGCTGCCCAACCGATGACGATGACGATCATACCTCTGGCGACTCTGGCTCAGAGTATCACCCAGATTCCGTCTCCTCAGCAGCTGGAAAAGGGTCCTGCGGTGCCTCCGCCCAAGGTGGAAATCAAGCTAGAAAAGGACATAAAAACTGAACCCCAGGACTCCACGGAGGAAATGCAGGAGCAGCCGGAGACAGACAATTCGGAAAAGGCCAGGCCTGAATCTCAAAACGAAAATCCTGAGGACCAGTTTTTGGATGCACTCCCGGTAGTGAAAATAAAAGAAGAGCCCAAGTTTGGAGACGAGGCAGAAATGGAGCAGGATCCCGACGACACCGATGAGGATGCAAACAACGGTCGCTCCAGTGTCACCTCGCTGGCCGAGGTGCTAGCCGCAAATGTCGAGGACGAAATGGAGTACATAGAGCAGATGCGGCAACGCAGGAGGAACTCCCCACCATCCATATGTGACAAACCGGTCAATCTTCGACAGGGTACCAAACGCCGCCACGAATCCGCCCACGATGACAACAACAATGGAGAGCCTGGAGAAGGAACCACAGCCGGGTCCAGTGTCATCAGCTGTGCGGACGCTCGAAAGTACCTAAAGCTGCTGGAGGAGTTTGCCCTGCACAAGGAGAACTATAGGCTGATTGGCCTCATTACAAGGGCCGATGAGGTTATGCGGGAGATAGACGACAAGACGGAGTAGGTCGCTAGGAAGCTGCAGCCAAAGAAGTTAAGATTAAGGAACTGTAACATCTAGAAGATGCAATTCGGTCGGATGAAATCAATCACTAGGACTATGGCAATTTTATTTTTAATTTTTACCCAAACCAAATAAACTAGATTAAAATAATGTAAGTGGTTGCTTGATAACCTAATGCAATGACCCCAGGTGTGCTGTTTCGCAGTCATTTTCACGGGCAGTCCAGACCCGCTGCTGCTTTTCGCCGAGAGCGCATGTCTGCCCTTACCTCGCCGACTGCTCTTACCTTTCTCCGCCGGGCTGCCACCCACTTTGTCTCACGCACACATACGCACTTCTGGTTCAACTACACATGCAAACGTAAGCGAACAAAGAGGTCAATCATTCAATCGAATGGCAGGAGAAGATTTCTCAATCTATGGAGGTACTTTTGAGAGACTATAGAGCGTGGATAAAGATAAAAATATTCTGTAAAAATATGGGCGCTGTTGGGGTTTCAAGGCCCCGACAATCTTGATTGGGCAATCTTGAAATAAACAACCAACATTGAAGTGCGCATGTCTGCCTTTAGTTTCGGTCAGAGTTCTTGATTTTCTCAGTTCTCTCCCTTTGTTGCTCTCAGCCATGAGGGGGAGTTCCTATACTATTTGTATTTTAATATATTTAAATATGGGAGATGGTGTTTTAAATGCGAATTCACGTCTCCATTCTAGCTTATCAACTGGGGTTTAAAATTCGTTTTATGTCCCCCTCCCCCAATCGAAATATTGCGCATTCCTAGACATTCAATTTCATTTGATTGATTGACTTATTCGGCGGTTGGGTGTGTGTGTGTGTGCTCATGTTAGCCAGCACAAAAACAAAACACGTATGGACAGACCCCGACTCCCTCTCATTCAATGCCAACTAATCAATCATTCAATCGAGTCACACACATGCACATCAGGGGCGCTTTTTCATCTCCATCAAGCGGCAGTCGGTACAGTTCGTGATTGGAGCTTGATGAGAGAACAGGTACTGTCCGAATCTAAGAAAGTGCTTCTAAGTAAAGTAGTAATTGTAGGTTTCGAGTTCGCTGGTCTTGGTTTTTTATCTTTTTATCTTAAAACCACGATCTGATTCAATCCATTTGCGAACAAACCATACAAACAGCCGTTTACAGGGTATTATAATCGCGTGTTAGTCAACACTGTCTCTAGTGGGCAGGCCTTGCCGGTAGTACAAACAGCTGATTGGCTTGAAGTAAACAAAAAAGGTAAATATTATTGTTATTCTGCCAGCCGTTATTGGTAGTTTAAAGGTAGAGAACCTTTGTTTTTATTATAAAACCAGTTAATAATACAAATTTTGGTTATTAGATGGCAACAGCCCTCCCAGATCGCTTCAGCGCTGGAAAGCGGCAATTTTGGCGTGAATTCCTGGCTCTCTACCAAGGTATGCCGGAGTTGTGGGATGCCCACCACGTAAATTACCGCAACAAAGAGCTCAGGAACAGAGCCTACGAGCTGCTAGAGACGAAACTTAGGGAAATCCAGCCAAACGCCACACGCACCGAAGTGGGAAGGCGAATTAACATCTTCAGGACTAACTACAGGCGGGAGCAGATGCGTATCCTCAAGCAAAAGGAGCTGGGCCTACACTCGGACCTCTGCAAGCCGACCCTTTGGTTCTACGACTACATGGGATTCCTTCTCACACAGGTAACTAGGGCTGTTGATAATATAAAAAAATATCAATGATACATTTACTCAGAAATATCGGAATTCCGATATTTCTTTGGATATTTTTTGATATTTTTGGTCTTTGGTCACTCTGAATTCCAAAGCGACATCGAGTGAACAAATCAAGCACAAAATTAAAAAAATGAGTGTAAAATCAAACTATACGGACATAACCAACAGAACAGCAAAGTGCATACACTGTAATAAAGTCATTAAAACAAGCGGAAATACAAGTAACCTGGCTTCGCACCTGAGAAACAAACATTATCATGTATTCACAAAATGCGAATACATGTCTCAAAAGAATGTACATATGAATGTATGTGTGTCTATAAGTAACGCCTATGTAACGCGTTGTTCACAAAAATATCAAAACAATATCAGTATATTTTTATGTGATATTTTAAATATTAACCTTTCTTAACCGACAATCCCACAGGAAACCTTTCAGCACAGAAGCAAAAAGGTACGGATGACAATCAACGATAAGCCAAAGCCAGTATTCCAACTAAACAGAGGCGTATGTATAGTTTAGTCATCAATCCTAAAATATATTTGACCTTTTGCTCTTTGAATTAGGTTATTTCTGATCCGTCCGAAGGCCTGGGGGACTGGCACATGAAGGATAAAAGCGACACAAACTATTTACCTGATCTAGAAGCCCAAAAATCCGAAGATACTTCCCTTTTGAGTCCAAAAATTGAGTTCATAGAACAGGATGGGGGAAATACAACCAATGAAATGAAAACAGCGATCTCAAGGAGGAAGCCGACGACATGCAGATTTCGGTTTCTAAAGATCCCGATTGCTCCACGCATGCAAACCTGAAAACTGGATGCGAAAGCAGCCGGCGACCAGGTCATTCTAGTCTAAGTGAGGCATCTGAGGTGCTGGCAAGATCCTGGGCCATTCAGTACGAGGAGATGGCCCCAACTCAGCGCATATTGGCCAGAAAGGCTATCGCTGATATTTTGTTCGAGGGCTGTATGGGTAACCTAAGAATAAATCGTGGAAATACCGTGGGGAATCATCAGTATAGTTAAATAAGTAATAGATTTTAATTTAAGATAAGATATTTGAGAAATGTAAATTACTTTAATTTCTATGTAGAAATTGTTCTTGTATTTTGTTAATAACAAAAGACTATGATTCAAAAATAAAATATTAAATTCAGTGTTGGAACATTTAAACAAGAATTGTTGAGTGGATTTCAGTTGGTAACTTTTCAAATTTTGAAAATTCAAATTAATAACAGATGTTTTCCAGTGTTGGTTAACGCAAATCTTGTTATAAATGGAACCGGTTGGCAGCTCCGCTGTTGAATTTGCCACTAAAAATTGTTTTCAACTTCATATCGTCCTTATACAAAAATATGTCAGTTTATTGAAAACGACGCCTGGCCCGATGCATTGCGTTAAATTCCCCCTGCTCATCACATTATGCTAAAGTTTAGTGATATTGGAAACAGTTGTGCGTAAGTGTAATCGTTCGGTTTAATAATGAATTTTACAGATCGACTATAGTTTCATACATTCATATTTTAGGGCCTGGAGGCACCTGCTTCGCACCGGTCGCAGTAGCTTGAAGATCAAGAAAGGTGCAAAAGGACATTTCTTGGATAAAAAATGCAACGAGGAACTGAAGAAATCTCTTCCTGAAGAGGCGTATGTTGAATTAATGAATTGGGTTGATAGCTGGATGAAGAAAATAGACAAGAGGAACTATAGTTACACCAAGAAGGATCTTGATCCAAAACCTGGAGCCAATCCAAAGGAGTCTACATCTATAGGAAATCAATCAGCTGGCAATCTCAGCGATTTAGAGGAAGATGATGATGTTATTGAATGTGTCGACTCCAATGAAACTTGTATCAAAGATGTTATTGACCTTTGCAGTGATGAAGATTCACGAGATAACACCTTGACAGACTCTGTCAGTTCGAGCACCTCTTCGGAAACATTAAAGAATCGATCTGAAACTACTGAAAATAAGATACGGCCAGATGCAATCAATACCTTTCGCCCTTTTGTGGTGACGTTTTTACCAAAAACCAATGCCATCACCAATTCTGCAAAAAAATCCCCAATCCCAACCGAAAATAAAACGAAACTCCCTCCTGATCTTATAAAAAAAGATTACTCACAACGAAAATCATTAAACCAACAACCAGCAACACAGCCAAAAGTCACTACCACCTTAAAATCGAATTCTCAATCAGCTGAAAATTACAAAAGCCCCGCATCAAAGTTGGAAACGACAGAGACCCCTGACATTTCCAAATCGGTAAGGCAAGTTCCTGCCATTTTAAGCGGTTTTAAATCCATATCTACTATTGAAAACAAAAAACCACAAGTCATTAAAGTCTACAAACGGCGGGATTCTTCATTAAAGATAACAGAAGCTACAAATGAACCTAATCTCCCTACACAAAATATAGTACCAAAGCCAGAATCTAGTGCGGTCGAAAAACAAACCAAACAGGAAAAAGATGGTCGCAAAAAAAATGAAAATTTGACAAAAGTAGTTCATAAACAGATCAATCCTGCGACTAACACAAACCAAATTAAACCCATCGTACCGCAAGCTGGAGTACCGGTCGTTTTTTTGAAGCGAAAACATTCTGAAACCGACCCAGGATCGGACAATTCACAAGGACCAGCAAAAAGATCGGTTATTCAGATACATATTCCCAAAGATAGTAGTACGGCAATAACTCATCCCAAAAAAGGATTGCCAACTCCCGCCCGTCCTGGAACAGTGCCCCATGCACGAGGGGGCACTTCCCAAACCACACCAATTACTACACAACAATTTACAAAAGGTGACACAACAATTACAAAAGTATTACCCATTCAAAACCCATCGAGTTCATTGGCGAACAGTAAGCAAGGACCTTCAACAAGCTCGGGTAGTGCTCAAGTTAATCCCGATACCAAAGAATTGCATTCCCCCAAGGCGTCTAGTCACTTGGAGGCCAATAAACAAAGACCAGCAAACAGTTCAGACCATCCGATGAAACCTCCCAATACAAAAGTATTGCCTGTTCGGAACCCATCCGGTGCCGTGGCGAATAGTAAACAAGGACCACCAACAAGTTTGGGTAATCAGCTTCGTGTTCAGGTGCCTTCTCAAGGACCAGCGACAAGTATGGGGAGTGGTAGTGATAAGGTTATCCCAATTTCAAAAGTCTTGCCTATTGAGAACCCCTCGAATGCTCCGTTTACGATTGTTCACCTTCATAAATCTGAAATCGGTAGTGATCCAATTATTCCAGCTACCAAAGAATTGCCTTCTCAGAAGCAGTCTTCTATTTTGGAGGGCAATAAAGAAGGACTAGCAAAAAGTTCGGGTGTTCGGATCCGTAATTTTGGACTTAGTAATTCTTTAATTACTTCAGATTTTAAAGTATTGCCTAGTCCGAAACCATCGAGTGCTCTGGCGAACAGTAAACAAGGACCTTCGACGAGTTCGGGTGCTCTGCTGCGTAAATCTCAAATTGGTAGTTCTCCCAATATACCCGCTGCGAAAGAATTGCCTTCTCAGAACCCGACAAGTAATTTGGAGGAAAAAAATCAAGAAACAGAAAAAGGTACTGGCCTTCAGAGTAGTGAATCTAAGCCTAGTACTACAATTACTTCCGCCTTAGAAGTATTACCTGCCGAAAACCCATCAACAAAGCAAGAACCAGCGGAAAATTCTGAGGATAAGTATTTAAAAGTGCTCAAGAGTATTTTTAATTTTCAGAATGGTAGTAATACAATGTCTTCAACCACAAAAGAAGATAACGCATTGTCCGAAATGACAAAGATCCTGGACATGTTGGAGACCGTAGAGAACTTCACCGTAAGACATGCGAATGAAGAGGCATTTTTTCTGATTAAAATGCTTCGCATAAGCCTAATACAAGGGCTAAATTTATGAATTTATGAATTAGTTACGATTCGGGATACACAACGAAGGGTCTGCCATAAAATTCTGCCATTAGTTAATCAGCTGACTATGAAATGTTTAGATGCCTAATATAGCTTTGATTATGTTGATTATGTATAAATGTAAACTTTAAATATTGTTTAGAAAATATTGTTAGATATTTCAAAATAAAATGTTTCCATGGGGTATACAATATACATTTGCTCCACTTTTTCTGATTAAACGTGTATGATAATAAAAGTATAGAAACAACTTGTGAGAAATTTAATTCCTAACCCTTTTCAGCAAGATAGGGGGAAAACCCCAACTTCAATAGATCCGAAAAATGGACAACAAATCTAAAAAATATTTTGTCTCAGGATTTTGATTGAGAATGGTGGGGAATCGTTCTAGAAATCGTTTAAGGTACTCCGCTTGAGAATCGGATGAGAATTGGGGAAGATATAGACATCGCAGTGGACCCTATAGGGAAAAACCACATTTTCAAGGGGCCCCATCAGGAAAAATGGACAAAAAATCAGAAAAATATTTTGTCTCAGGATTTTGATTGAGAATGGTGGGGAATCGATCTAGAAATCGTTAAAGGTACTCCGCTTGAGAATCGGATGAGAATTGGGGAAGATATGGACATCGCAGTGGACCCTATAGGGGAAAACCACATTTTCAAGGGGCCCCATCAGGAAAAATGGACAAAAAATATAAAAAATATTTTGTCCCAGGATTTTGATGCAGAATGATAGCGAATCGATCTAGAAATCGTTAAAGGTACTCCGCTTGAGAATCGGATAAGAATTGGGGAAGATATAGACATCGCAGTGGACTCTATTGGGAAAACCCCATTTTTAAGGGGCCCCATCAGGAAAAATGGACAAAAAATCGGAAAAATATTTTGTCCCAGGATTTTGATTGAGAATGGTGGGGAATCGTTCTAGAAATCGTTTAAGGTACTCCGCTTGAGAATCGGATGAGAATTGGGGAAGATATAGACATCGCAGTGGACTCTATTGGGAAAACCCCATTTTTAAGGGGCCTCATCAGGAAAAATGGACAAAAAATCTAAAAAATATTTAGTCCCAGGATTTTGATGCAGAATGATAGCGAATCGATCTAGAAATCGGTAAAGGTACTCCGCTTGGAAATCGGATGAGAATTGGGGAAGATATGGACATCGCAGTGGACCCTATAGGGGAAAACCACATTTTCAAGGGGCCCCATCAGGAAAAATGGACAAAATATCTAAAAAATATTTTGTCCCAGGATTTTGATGCAGAATGGTAGCGAATCGATGTAGAAATCGTTTAAGGTACTCCGCTTGAAAATCGGATGAGAATTGGGGAAGATATAGACATCGCAGTGGACCCTATAGGGAAAACCCCATTTTCAAGGGATCCCATGAGGAAAAATGGACAAAATATCGGAAAAATATTTTGTATCAGGATTTTGTTGCAGAATGATGGCGAATCGATCTAGAAATCGTTTAAGGTACTCCGCTGGAGAATCGGATGAGAATTGGGGAAGATATAGACATCGCAGTGGACTCTATAGGGTCCACTATATAAACCCCATTTTAAAGGGATCCCCTCACGAAAAATGGACAAAAAATATAGAAAATTTTTCGTCTCAGGATTTTGATGCAGAATGGTGGAGGATCGATCTAGAAATCGTTTAAGGTACTCCGCTTAAGAATCGGCCACCACCCACCCCATCGCCCAGTATCCCTAGCCCCAAATAAAAAGGCCCACTGCACTACAAGAAACACTGACCACTTAGATATGATTTTATTCATCCTTAGATGGCTTTATCCTTGATCTCTAAAATGTACTCAAAGCCACCTGCAAATTCATCCTTGTCCAAAACATTAAGCCTCATTTTGAGAAGACCCCGAGGCAGAATGACGGCCCATTCTGAAGTATCAAAATATACGTTTTTAAAAAAGTGCATTCCCTTCGGAAACGGGCACAATTTTCCATTTTTGAAATCCACATCGGTGTTTATTCCAGTGACTATAGACTTTTTCACGAACCTCTGGTAGAAGGATTGCAATGCGGTGCAGAATGGCATCGGTGGAATCTCCAAGGGCAACTGCTTGTACCCAGCTCCAGTAGCGTCTGAGGAAAGTTCTACCGAAATCTGGTACTCGTTATCAAGATCCTTGAGACATTCAGCCGTACCGTTAACCAGTCGCTCACGACCCACAAGCTTAAAATTGGGGACAAACAGTTTGCCAGGATAATTGATCACTGCGACATTAAAATACTCGTAGGACTGACGCCAGCTCTATAGGCATTGGAAAAGGATATTTAGAGGTCGTCAAGGACCAATACCACATGCACTCACTTCCACAGAAAGAATCCTGATCCAAAAACCAACAACAAATAGCGCGATTTTTAAAAGATTCAATACCAACATTTTAAAACGAATTTTTTCACTGTTTGCAGATTATCTGCGGCATTTATACAAAAAAATATTATATATCTTACATCTAGAACAACTGAAATAATAGTCAGTAATTTATCCGATCCGAATAGATTGGAATCGAATGGGAAAAAAGATAAAATCCATTGTTCAAACACGTAATTTATTTTCATGTCAAAAAATCTTGTCCTTGATCTCCACAACGGACTCCATTCCGCCAACAAACTCTTCTTTGTCCAACATATTCAGTTTCACCTTGACGAGACCTCGGGGCGAATCAATCTAGAAATCGTTTAAGGTACTCCGCTTGAGAATCGGATAAGAATTGGGAAAGATATAGCCATCACTACGGACCATATAGGGTAAAAACTGAGAATGTTGGGGAATCGATCTAGAAACGCTATCTTCGTGTTTTTGAAGATAACTTACTGAACAACCACTCAGATTTCACCGAAACCACTCAGTGGAACAGAGAAACTTAGACCCCAAGTAGAAAGGGTAATTTAAAAGTGTAGACTATTAGAGGTAAAGCAAATATGTTTACTAAATCAGTACCTCGTAAATCTAATGAGTTTAATAAATGTATAATAAAAAATTTGTTCTCATAAAGAGAAGTACAATCATATATTTTTAAGTTTAAACTTTATTTTTATTTGACTTTTGAGATAAGAACATTTGCAAAACAACTAGCTATGTAGTCGTAGTTTTTTTGCTTTAACCTTTTTTCTAGGACCGACAGCTGCAAGGAAAAATTCAAATTACTGGGGGGATGCCGATTGGGGCAAGTTCTGAGTTGTTGCAACACTTTGCACCTGTCGTCCGCCCATCGCCTGCGAAAAATCAAGCGCAGCTTTAATTGATACAACAACCGCTGTGGGCTGGGGTCCCCCATTGCTGGCTGGGTGACTGGGTAACTGGGGGCCATACAGTTGCCGGATAGGGTCTTCACTAGTATTTGTACTAGCTGGTTCTGATGCTGCTGCAGCAGGCTGTTGCACGTGTTGGCTGCATACTAGTCGCGGCAAAAATGTTGTAAGAAATGCGTGGCAGCTGCGAAGCCGGCGACGACGAGGAATCAGAATCTGGGAGGAGGAAAAGCGCCCTTGAAGGGGCCTAGGAACCGTAAATGGACATTGAAATTAAATGCAGCTGCTTTAATACTGCTGATGCTAGCTATTGACTTGAAGTCAGAGATGCGCATTCAACTCTATTATTTTAAAAAAAAGTTGAAAACTTTTGTTTTGGTATAGCTTTCAAATAGTGTCACTTGAAAGTTTTTATTAAAACAGAAATTTTCGAAATATCTTTGAAAGTTAAGAGAATGTGATAAGTAACTAGTATCATACTACTTATAGTACTTTTTTTTATCCATATTAGGCATCTTTGATGAGTGGGGGCTCTGTAGAAAATCATTGGATATGCCACAAATGCTGCCACAATGGGCGTGGGATGGGCGTGGCAAAGCAGCCACGAAATGAAATGCCCGCGACTGCGCCGGTGGCCGGCGATTCTCGCAAGTTGGTGGGCGCCAGCAATCTGCAACAGCAACTGCAACATCAACAGCAAGAGCAACAGCAACAATCTGCAACACGGCGCCTTTGCCTTTTTGGGACGTTTAATGGGGAGTTGCCGTTGCCTTTTTTGGTGCAACGAAATCAAGCAACAAAAATCTTTTTATCGCTCACTACTCTCAACTCTTTCCCTCGTCGATGATGATGATGATATCGCATTTGGTTTTGTTTGTTTTAGGCAGTTCCTTGGTTTTCTTCTCCCAGCTGCAGTTGCATAAAAACAAACGCCATTTGAAGTGCCTGGCCAAGATGAAGTTGGTCAGGTTTTAGGCTTAAACGGCGGATCGAATGATGGCAATTTGGCCATAGAAGAGCCCTTGTGGCAGCACTCGATCATGGAGCGTTAGTCGAATTCTGCTCTGGATACCCAAGAAATGGTCGGTGATTTAAGAAAGCAGCTGGAAATCTAATTCAACTGGGCAGAGGTCAATTGGTAAAAATTTCAATTTATAGGTAATTTAGGTAATCATATTGATAGCTGCCTTTAAACAAAATTGTATACCAGATGCGACATGAGATCATAAAAAGTAAAACTCCTGCTTCCCAACAAAATCACAATTATTCCAAAATTAATACCAAAACAAAGTACAGTTTAATTGAAACTCTTCCCACTACTATTTGAAGGCTGGCCTTTGTTAAATCCAAATGTGTGTAAACAAGAAAACAATAACAAATTGCATTTCTCACACGCAGTCCATACCCTACATGGCACGCGTCTGAAACCACCCCAAAAATCGGGAGTCCGAGTCCCGCAGATCGCAGGTGCGGGTATGGTACTATATGCAGTATGTACTAGGGTGGGAATACGTTCCGATCCGATTCCCGGACTGGCTGTGGCTTCCCAGCCCGCAGTGAGAATCCAGCGAGAGTCACACGAGAACTGGAACAGTTGCTGATGGGACTGGGAATCATACCAGCGAGGGTGGTGGTATCTGGTGAGAACCCTGTAGTCTGGAGGATTATTGGCGAGCTAATGATTCTGACAGGCCCAGAAACTGGCAAGAA